GGAGGTATTTGGATAACTCATAAGTAGTACAATTTAGCCTTATTACAGGTTTCATTATCAAATAAATAGACTCTATTGCTTTTAGAAAGTACTTCTAGATATACATACTTAAATAATATAGTATATCCTCAAGTTTTTCTTTAATGTTTATTTTATATCTTGTAACTGTCTTTTGTTTCTATTTTCTAACTTTACATTTATCTTGTTTGTTACTATGTCTTTATTTACATAGTTAAATACATAGTATATATGATCTGTCTGTAGGTTCATTTCCTCTATCTTTTATTATTTATAATCTGATATTCTTACCTCTTACTTGTATTTTTTCTCTCATTTGTGAATCTAACTACTCTAAGCCTCTGTTTTACTTCATATATTAATTGGTACTTGAGTGAATAGAGTAGTTTAGGTGTCTGATTAGTAGTTTGAAATTCTCCTATAATAATATTTCATTCTTCTACTAATGGACTCTGATAGCCCAAGAACTGATGTAAGAATATTAAGTTCTATCTTCCTTATGTTAAATATTTCTACTCTCTTAATGATACCAGTATTTTTATTGAACTCAACTCAGCCTACAACAGGCCTCGAGTATCGAGGGGGGGACTGCTAGTCTGTCCATGTACTACAGGCATGATTCCTTAAGTATTCCTCAATTAGGAAAATATTTTTAACAACTAGTGTATTAAAAGAATACTTGAAACTATAACTAAAACAAACTGAGTATCAAAGAATACTCAAAACTACAAGTAAAACAAACTGAGTATCCAAGAATACTCAAAACCACAAGTAAAACCAACTGTATCAAAGAATACTAGTACTCAAAACTGCAAGTTGAATGAAACATAAAACAAATTCCTGAACTGGATTCCAGTTCTGGTTATACGCAGGATTATATATTTGCTACCAGTAACTTGAATAAGGAGACATCATAATACCTCACCTGGGTTTTAGATACAGGATTTTCTTTTACTAATCACTTAGATTGTTAAGAATCCTACCGGGCGCTAGGGTGCGACAGGTAACAATTCTTCATGCATAGCGAGGTAATAGTTCTCAGGCCGATGCCTATGCAATATGGATAGTCAAGTCCTTGTGACTTCTTATCTCATCGCACCTATTTCCTCTAACCTTCTTAAGTCCTCGTTTAGGACTTAATCATTTGACGTGGGAGGAGAAATAGTTTTCTTGCTTGGGAGGAAAGACAATTCTCGGATTTCTTAAGATAAATCTTGAAGAGCATAAAGGTAGGGTTTATTGTAATAACTTAAAGGTAGGAAATAAACAAGAAGAACATGTAAAGAGCTAATACCCGGGGTCCTAGTGACCCTTTATATAGTAGCTCTTCACCTGGCATGACTCATACTTTGTGTCACATGAACCCTGTGACTCATAACTATGAGTCATGTGAAATCCATCAGCCAACTCCTATGAGTCACTGCGCAACATACCTAAAACCAATTAAAACATAATAACTAAGTCAGGTACACAACTTGTGTCACCTGAGTGAAACCCATAACTCATATATTAAGTCATTTGCAAAAGTCATAACATCATATGACTCACAACTGTGAGTTATGAACAGGTAAACATAATAACCTATAGCGCACTAGTATGCATCATGTGAAATCCCAACATACCTATAGCTCGGAATTCCGAGCTATATAAAATCTCCCTTGCTTAGTCACAGTTTGTGACATAGATATACCTATTGCATAATTACCTTTCACTTGTTATGGTACCTGGGCCATTGGGTCTCCCTCGGGGCTTACTCTAAGCACATCTTCCTCTCTCTATCACTTGACCTCTTGGTTACATGTATGGATATAGATACAAGTTACTATAGCTTATCCTCACAAGGTCATTACAGATAGTGCATTTCACTTTCCTTTTTAGTCACCTTTTAGTATTACAGTGACCCTAAAAACAGCATGCCCAATAGATCTACTGGTTATGTGACAGTACATTTCACATTTTTTTAGCCACCTTTCAGTATTACAGTGACCGTAACCTATTGAATCTGAATCTGGAGGGGAAGGAAAGCTATATGATTGGGGTTTCCCAAATAACCTTCTGAAATCAGAATCCTGTTGATTACCCTTGCCCTTATTATGTAAGGTATTCCGGTTTAAAACACCAGTAGTACACATTCTAGCCGGTTCGCACCATCCTCTGGCATACCGGCAAAATTCCCACTTATAGCTACTGAACAGAACGGTGGTATTACCGCACACTTTGAGAACGGTTTGCCGCTACCGCAGAAACCAATTTTTCTACTGGATAGGGCACCATTAGTTCAACTTAATTAGTTGTTCCTGGAGTGCCTATCTTTGTACCCTCTATGCTGTAAAGTTAGAAATGAGGGTCTCTGCTCAATGGTTTCATTACCAGAATCGTGGGCCCTCAGCAAAATTCTTCCGGGTATGTTTGAAATTCACCCCCTGCGGCTCCTGGGTTGCTACTGGGGTTCAGTAGTGTTTGACCGCGGAGCTATTACACAACCTCACTGATGGCTTTTTAGTTTTGGGACCACATCGCAGCAATAAATTAACCAGAGTATCGAGATTTTTAAAACATGTCTTCACTTTCGTGAAACCTGTTTGAACCCGTTCTTCCATTGAACTCCTTTTTCAATCCCCTCTACTTAGACCCGTTATGGAACCTTGAGGGTTAGCGGAATTTTCTCTCGAATTTTGCGGATAACCCCCCACCCGATTATAGTGCTGATAACTGATATTGATGAATAGCCCCACATAGCGCTAAAGCTCAGGTCAGATCACTGCCAGTGGATCGTTAAGCATGCGAACCTTCAAGGACAACAGAATACTCAGTTTTTGGCAAAGACAAGCCACTCCCATAATGCTACCAATCACTCGAACTAGTAGGGAAAGGGGAACTTTCAAATATAGGTTTACTGTCTGGGTTAAAGGAAAACGGACTGCAACTTAACCGGAATGCGTTTGATATCGCTTGGGTACCCTTTCCCGAATAGTCCAAGACCTGATACACTAGTTGAAATTTTAGGGTGATGCCTGGAAATTCGTCGCTGCCAGACTATAGGCGATAGGTGCAGTGGTTCTGAGATAGAGGTAACTTCTCATACCGGTAGGTGTTTTTATATCTTCCACCAAGCTATGCATAATTTTCTTTGAGGCTTAGGGAGTGGCTTTCGAAGAGCGAAAATTTCAGTCAAGTAAAAATGTGGCGACGAGCTGCCTGACTCATCGTACTAGTAGAGTGGGCGTGGTGAGAGATTTAGTGCTGCCCGCATGTTACATAATTTCAGAGTGGGGATCTCCGCACTCAGAAGGAATAAATGTGGATCTACCGTATTTTCTTTCTCTTTCACGTCCAGCGGCAACTCCGCTCTCTTATTCCTCTGAGATGTTTCTCGACCGAGGGCTGCAATCTTTATATTATTGAGTTAGCAGCAGGCCTTCAATGCTCGAATTCGGAAATGTTTTTTTTTATTCCGGAACCCGGTTTCCGACAGCGCACTGTCCTTTCAGCTATGAATATCAGCTCTCTTTTTCACCAAGAGTATCAATTTGGATCCCTACCGTGGCGTTCTGGGGATTTATTTTTTCACCAATTGAAGGGCTGGAGAACTGACGAGCATGGGGGGGAAGATAATACCTATAGTACAGCATCCAATGCACCAAGATTTCTTCTAGAGTCAGCAGGTCAGGTTTATCCGGCGGTCTGGTTACATTACCGGTAACCATCCGGGATTAACACCGATCAAGCCGCATATCAAACCCCGAACAGATCCCGGAAAAGTATTATTGTAAGCGCCCCAACCCATCAAATCTAAAGAACGGGGACAGGAGAATCCGACAGGCAGTTCCTCCGTCCATCCTCGGTTCTGGGCGCGAGATGCACTACGGGCCCAAGTAAAAGATCGCCACTTTTCTCACCTCAAGGCTAACCTGCACAGAACGTTCATCCCGGTGAGAAAGCAGAGGCCTTTCAAAAGAAAGTTTGATGGAAAAGAAAAACCCAATACAGACGCAATACCTGAAGGATGCCTGCCATATCTTGTGGACTCAAAGGAGTTGCGTGTAATTAATGCCACTTCTGGTCGAAGCCTGTCTCGGAAGGCATACTCCGAGTCGATAAAACAAAGAATGATTCCAATATCCTCCGAGAGTTCGATAGATAATTTTACCTCGATGGCAGGACGTGCACCTGGGGCGGGAGGACGGTCCCTCCTTGTTTTTTTCCTCCGGGGGCTGTTCAAGTCCTGATAAAGTAGTTCTTCGGATTCAAAAGCGAAGGCCATCGCGGCGGAAGATACCGGGCTACCCTGGGAAATATCAGAAGTGGGAGAAAATCTAAATTGTGACCCAGTGGCCGGGGCAGTATTGTGGCGCAATTGACACGAAGCTGGCCCAAGTACGCCATCCCAACCGACAGCTGTGGCTCAAGATGGTAGGGCAATAGGGTCATTAACTGCTATGCCCTTAACCTACCGTACTACAATTAATCGAGATTGTCCGGTGTGCAGGTGCCGTGGCCAGCCTGAGTATAAATTCTGTATTTGCTGGGTAACTAGGGTCTCGATTTCCGATATCCAAAGCCGGTACCCTACCGGTACAATGTGCTAGTAATGTAGCTTAAGCGTACCGGGCGAGTACCACAGATTTAACAAAAACAAAAGTAGAAGTCGGTAACTTTCAATGGCGCCCCGGCGCGGGACAAATCAGTAAGGTGTAGCCGAAAGCACAGCCATGGTTTCCGACCACAGTGGTTGTTGCGTGTATTAAAGCTCGCGCTCCCCGACAAGATGGCTTCCGCAGAAGCTTCACAAGTTATAAAACTGCCTATCACCGTGAAAGGTTTTTTTTCCTGCGAAAGAAGAGAGACCAACAAACTAACTCAGTAAAACTAGACACCGCGATCTTGAGGTGCACGTAGAAATAAATTGAGAAGGCCGGAGGCCTAACAGGAGATACAAAGATACAGCGCAGTAGGAAAAGACAATTGAAAAGATAACACGCCTAATAAACCCAAGTGGTCTCAACCTCGGCAGCATGAACATCTGCAGGCTCTTTCTCGACTGCCTTCACCTTTGTAGGTTTATTATCTTCCGGGAGATCGTCTTCCCTGCCATTCAGATTATTTCCAGCGCGATGGTCGAAATTAACAAGTTCATGGAGAATTGAGGCTTCGATAAGCTCGGCATATAAGTTGTGGGCAAGTTTTTTGGGAAAATTGACCTAGTGTAGTCAGCAAACAGCCCCACTCAAAGGATTCGTGGTTCTCTTACTAAATCTGCAGACTCCCCAACTTTGGTCAAGACGTCATCGACTCTCCATTGGTCCCGGACAGCACCACGAGTGGGCTTGATACGGGCGGCAGCCTCAATGAAACGCATGCGCTCACCTGGAAATGGTAAGCGCCTTCCAAAGCCTGAAATATCACGAGAGGGAGAAGACCATACCGAGAAGAACGACAATCTGACGATCAAGATCGTCGATACTCGTGCGGACTTCTGCCATAGTTGTTGCACTAGCTGCTTCAATGGCGGTATGAATGCTCTTGTTTACCATCTTGATGGATTTAAGGGTATGGCAGCGTTTGGAGCTTGCTTTACAGCGGGATATTGTGAGATCGTGTAGGAGTGAAGTGAGAGATGTTTTCCTCTGGGAAGAATGGAGAAGGGAGGCCCAAAATAAACTTTTCAGCAGGTTGCCCGGGGAGTGAGAGTGATAAAGCTAAGGGTCTGATTGGGTGCACCGTGGTTTTATAAATCTTGCCGCGCCGTTTGACGAAGGTGAGAGTACCAATGATCGTTGTATAAATGCTTGGTTCAGCGATTCAGGGGGTTTTTATACCCGTCCCAAACCACGGAGGGGGTGGGAAGCACCGAACTTGTATTCGTTGAATTTTCACAAGTTTCAAAGTTGCAAATGATTGCGGTTTGGCGCGGTACTACACACAGTTTCCAAAGCTACTACTACGGTACAGTTCAGTACAAGATCCGTCATATCACGGGTTTCTGTCCTCAAACTATTGATGCATCCTCCCCCGAGTACTGTATGATCTTGATTAACCCAGACAAGCCCAGGAGCAGGACGGTATTTAGTCCGGGGTTCCGTCGGATGCACTCCCCGAGCAACCAGAACAGATCCCAGGCTTCTCCCGCAAAATACTCGCTGATATGAGATGTTGTCATTGTAGCACAGTCACACCCAGTTACCGTATTAGCTTGGACAAGAAAGATTTTTCTCAGGACGTCTGAGTTTCCTATTCCGAAGGGGACAGGAGAGAATGCCAGCAAACCAAAAAAAATTGCTTCCTTAGAAGGGAGATCTAGGCGTCCTGAGACAATTATCTCTTATTCAAGATAAGACAGCATCCCGGATGGCCGGCGGCTTTCATCGGGGACAACGGGGTATCCGGGACAACTGGGAGAGAAAGCTCGTGCCGTTTGAAGAAAAATAACCAAGATAACTTATGATCATATGGGAGGCATTATAGAGATTTTAATTCATGGGCGGAATAACCACAATTGGTAGTCAACCTGGCAGCTGCCATGTATCATATCCTTCGCCAACCATACCTTGCTATTGCGATCTTAGTGGCAGTAATATATTCCACTTTCCTCCATGCGCCGCTTCAACTATGGGCCTGCAATACCCTTTTCCCCTCCCCACATCGGTTTTGCTTCCCAGTTGCCTCTGTGCCTGACCTCTCCTACCCTCCTCTTCCGGTGAAGCCTTTCTGACAGTAGCCATAGCATCCGGTTCTGCAGGTTAATTTTCTACAAAATCTCATATGAACCCCAAGACCCCCCCTTCCGCACAAGGTGATAGCTGTGAGGAACTGGGGGAGCGAAAGGTTCTGTCCGGTTTAATGAGATCCGGGATAGTGGGGTGGGATTGTACCTGCATATTCTAACCAGGCCCGGACAAATTATATCCAATATTTCACCCTCGTCTATAGAAACTTCGATGAGTTGCATCATTTTCGGACGACGATTGCACCTTAGTGCGGCCTCCCTGTGGGCCGAAATAATCTGAGCTTGAGGGAAGAAACCCGTGGTTTCCAACGATCTCGTGTAGTCTTGAATATCTGGTACATTATAGGTTCTATACATTACCGGCTAGCATCGGAACTTGAAAGAGAGCTGCGGACAGGTACTCCCCGAGAAGTGTTCCCTGCAATAGTAAAGTGCCTAGCCTCCTCTGAATTTTAGTGGCTGTAGTTTGACATAGTAGGAGTAGCGGTGTCTGGATTCTGGTACCGTAGGGGCTTGAGCACCGGTAATGAAACCGTGTGTTATATCGTTAGAGATACCCCCTCTGGTAGTGCCAGGTGCTTCATGGGCGTAACATCCCTCTTTTGCAGAGGTTCTCACCCCATATTCAGCTTGGAGAATTTTCCGGTATCTATTACGGATCTCGATTGAAGGGCAGTTTCGGCAATAGCACCCTCCCTCGGTTTAATTATTGGTGTTTCTACTCCGGATGTGTTCTCGATTGCTGCGGTGGTAGTGCAGTTCTGTGGAGTCAAACCGACCCACCTAGCGTGACTTTAAACAAGTCGGAGAATTTAGAATTAAGGGCTTAGAATTAAGGGCGGCGAGATTTGGGATGAAATGTAGAGAACTCAATGGATGAGTGAAATCTAGCACTCTTCCGCCTGTCTACTTTCAGGGCCTCGAGGCACAACATCTAGTGATCATCTCTGCCAAACCAGCCATCACAGCAGACACTCGTCCATGGCAAGGAAAACCCGAACATTGGACTTTGTTGAATAATGTATGGGTGTACAGTACCTGATGCGCACATACTGCTGACCATACTGTATTCCCCTGCTCTATCCCTGAACAATCCTTGGATCATCCCCGTTTTCCTCCTAAAATTTTGGGTACCTGTACTGTACGAGTACTTGTACTTCTTGCCACGGACGAGTACAGTGGCAATTCGGTGTCCCGAATGAAATTCCACGAATTTCTTTACACCAAAACCTAACCGGTTGTCCTGGATAACTCGTTGTCCGGGACGGGCTGCTAGGATTTGGACCATCGGGAACAACGGGGTGCGAATCTGGGCGTGTTGTAACGTACCCGATGGCATAGCGAAAAATATGGTACAACGAAAAATTGTTGAAAAAGAGCGAAAACAGGC